AGTTTGGTTCTAAACGGAGATTGTCATTTCTTTGATTCGTTCAACGATGAATTGCACCGATCTTAAAACGAACGAGAACTTCCGGAAACTCAATTTACACGGCTATAGAAATTGGGCAAAGCAATTAAGTAAATTGGAAACCAAAAGTAGAAAGCGATTCTTCGCTCGACACTACAGACGATTGGTGTAAAACGTTCAAACCATGATTAGGAAGAGAATCCTGGAAATAGGAACATGTGTTAATCAATTCTTCATGTGTCTAGTTTAACACTAAAGACATTATCACATTGCTATTTATTTTTAAGACTTTTCCTAAAATAGTTGAAAATATGAGAATATTAGATAAATGTAATTAGATTAACCTTTTTATGGTTGAAATTATTATTAAAAATTTAGTGAGATCCCAAAATATTTCTGATATCAAATTTTCTTATCAAACATAATTCTATTATCAAACTTTCTTTAAAATCTTAAGACATAAGAAATTTCAAACTGCAATGTTTAATATCTCAATATAACATGATCACATCGCTATTTATTTGTATGATTTTTCTTAAAATAATTTGATTTCTGGGAATAAATATAAGAATATTATATAAACTTAATTAACTTATTATTTTCATTATGAAAATATTATTAAATCACGGTCCATTATTATGTGAGGTATTGGATGAAATTACTATTAGTTAGGTTAAAACACATTTCTATTTTCAAATAATCTTAGAAATTTAATATAAAAATATTAATTTTGATGTTAAATGTCCCTAATATAACATTTCTGTTTTTTTATGATTTTTCTTATAATACTTAGATATCTGGGAATAAATAAATATGAGCTACATTATTTAATTAACTTAACGTATTATTCAAAACGAGGTACCGTCGATTTTATGTAGCGTCTAAGAAAAAGTTACAAGGAGTGAGGTCACAGAATGTTTCTATTATCAAATGTTATTAGAAACGTAATAAAAAAAGTAACTTTGGTGTTTAATTTTTCTAATAAAGAATATGAAAATATTTAATTAGTTTAAGGTTTTTATTATAAAAGAAGAATTTATTACTAGTGGCGTTCTAAAATATCTATTATTCAGAAGAAATTAGCCTAGGTTGGATGTGATTTCTGTTTCTAAACTTTCTTGAAAATTTAATACAAAAATTTAAACTTTGACGTTAAATCTCATATATAGCAGAAGCACATTACTATTAATTTTCTAATATTTTTTCAAATAAAGGATATCTCGAAATAAATAGAATATATATGTAAATATGAAAATAATTTTAATTAACTTAAAGTTTTTATGATTAAAAGAATTATTAAAAACGGGACCCGCACGACATTATATGAGCATTCAGAAGAAGTTGTAACTAGTGAGGTCCCATCATATTTATATTATCAAATTGTGTTAAAATATTTAAATTAAAAAAATAATTCTAGCTATACATAAAATAATGTTAAATTAAGTTTTATATAATCATTAATTTATAATTGTATTGGGGCGACATCTTCAGAAATAATTTACGTTAAATTATCTCCAGTTCCTCTCTTGACTCTCGACGATAATTGTGATTTTAATGGCGCCACTTTAACATCCTCGCAATTGTTGAAATGTGAAAACCAGACGCAGACGCTACATTATATCCATTGCCCCCTCGAAAGAGCTTTCATAATGGCTTTAGAAGCTGCCAAAAAAAAAATGAATAAAATAAAGCAGTACCAACAACAGCCACCGATTTATTCCCTAAATAATTCCCATTTTCAATCCCGTCGCTTTTATTTTCCAACGTTTAATCCCGATTTGATTTAGTTCGGGGTATTTTGTTTCCAAATTGGTTGGATTCACCAAAAAAAAAACGTTCCCAGTAAACAGCGACTTTGCAAACACGTTTTATTCACGTCGCGTTTTCGGTGGATGCGCCAGGCTTTTCCATCCCCTATTTTTTATTGGAATGCAAAACAGTCTTGGGGCACCCGTGAAAAATTGATGATGGGCATTAGGCAAAGCGAAGAAGCGCACTTCGAGAAAATTTTCGTTTTCTTTTTTTTTGCCTTTCGGAGATGCTCAATCAGGATTCTGATGTAATCAAGTTCGAAGATGCTCTAGTTTTGTAAACATGTAAATAAAAATCAGCTCGAGCAAATACCTGTTTTCAGGATTTTATCGAGGTGCACGCAGCTGGGAGTCCTGATTAATTCGCAAACTATAGCCGAACGCATTCGTTACGACACAACGGGTTTAATTTAATTAGAGTCCTGCGACAGGTAGAGCAGCGACTGGGATTACAGATCGTTGGGTCCTACAATACAAATAGTAATTACTATTTACCTTGTTTCATCTCACAGCCTCCCATAGATCGAGCCGTTATTTTCAGGTGCGGCCGAAATAATCAAGAGTTAATTAACTCCTGCAGAAAATCCATGCATTATATTATATTGAAATTATCCTCATTGAAAGGCGCATCCTTTGAAGCGACAAATACATATTGATTTCTAGCGAAACTCATTAAACCCTTAGCTAAAAGCTTGTCAAATTCAATGCTTAATTACTATATAAAAGTGACCTGTACGTTTCTCAAACATCGAGATACAAGCAAGCGGATCATCCGTTGAGATTAAATTTTCATACAGAAATCCCCATTTCAATGTGGCCAGACAGCTCGAATCTCTTTCATATATGTCTCTGGTCACCCTTTTCAAACGTATCAAATATTAAACACCATTCGAATGGGAATTAAATAAATAAATAAAGCGCAACAAAAGAAAGATGAGTCCTGAGGCGCTCCTCAAAGAGAGGATTTATGCTCTCATGGTTTTAGGTCGAACGCGGTCTTTAATGTTATTAGAACGTGGTGAAACTTAGACGGATGCAGATTATTATTGCTTCAAGTTTCAAGACAGAAGTTGGAAGGATGAGTTAAGTTCAATATGTTCACTGTTCGTTGTGACATGAGTACAGTTTAGAAATTATCGAAGTTCTCATAATTGGATTTGTAGGAATAAATTTAATAAATATAAAAATATTAGTTAAACTTAATTAACTTAATATTTTTACAATTAAAAGTATTCCAGAATATGAAATTAATGAGAATCCTTAGTAAAATTTATTAATGATATTTTTAATACTATTTTTATTATTATATTTTCTTAGAAATGAAAAAAAATGTAAAGTATTAGTGAAGGCCCAATATATTTCCATTATCAAATTTTTTTAGACACTTAATAAACAAATTAAAGTATGTCGCTAACTTTATTTCTGGGATTAAATAGAATGAACGTGAGAATAAATTTGATGAACTCATCGTTTTTATGATTAAAATAATGATTTATGATTTTATGGGATTACTAACATCTACAGTACTGCAACTTGACTTTAATATTTTGTTATACAAATATACAACTATTATAGATTGTTTTATTTGTTGACAAACATCATTGGACTAAAAATAAAGACCAACATTTTACTATCGAATAATAATATTAATAATAATATAATCAAAAAATAAACCTTTTCCAAGCCCTGCTCATATTTTTAATTTTGATAAAATAACTTGATAAACATATTTTGATTGCATTATATTGCTACATAATGTTAATTATACACGATCTTTTGATCATTTTCCTGGTCTTCGCGTTATATTTAATTACTAAATTAATACATATAAGTTAATTAGAGCGTTAAATGTTCATTTTAACCTTTTTTGTGAATATTGACTATTTTTGTAAAAAAAAACAGTAAAAGTTAAGAAATATATTTCAAGTCTCAAAATACATTTTGTTTAATTAATGAACAACCACTCACAATATTCAGATTATCGTTTATGTAAATTAAAGACAAAACTTTGGACTTTATAAACAGATGACAACCATATTTCTGATGTTAGCCAATCGTATAGGATCTTAAAAATGATAATTTATTTCATTTAATTCGAAGATACTTATAATATTTTTGACATATATTGGAAGATTAATTTTGCATCTTTTCATATAAAATTATAAAAATAAAAGTAACCAATAACAGAGATATTTCCGATTTTCAAATTATTTTTATTTTAATTACTCGATAATTTATGATTACATGCAAATAAAAGATGAAAATCTGGTATTTGCAAAGAATTTAATGATATATTTATAGTCTATTCTGTTATTCTCTACTAATCTGGCAAAAATGAACAATAAAATTGGAGCATGAAAATTCACTGACTTTATATTTTATTTTATTTTCACTTTTTTCCCTAAAAATTCAAACCTTTACAAGTCAATATATGTTTAGAATCGCTTAACATTAGGGCATTGAGGTTGCCCTAAAAAATAAGTAAAATTATGTAAATCGTGACGGTGTTAAAGGATCGGCATCTTACCAATATTTTTCATAGATGAAATTGATGACGGGGAGTAAATTATAATTTAAATATTCTTGAAAAGAAATATTACAAGGGGATGAATTCCAATTCAACTTTTTTTGTGGGCCCCACAAAGTGTGGTGCGTATTAGTGTGCTAATAAGACGGCCCTGGTCAACTTTATAATCAATTGGGTAATAAAATAAAGTTTAATTTAAAAAAAATATGCAAGAAATTATGGAACCAAGCAATAATATTTCTTGGCTTTTTTGCTTCAAGTAAATATAAATGATATAGTGATAATTATAATTATATGTAATTTAAATTTACATATACCATGATGTAACAAAAGTAACGTTATGCAACATATTTTACAAGGATCAAAGAAAAGTTTTCTGTTTTCCCAGTGGGAAAATGCTGCAGGTGAAACTAGTTCATGAAAACCGTAGATGTCGCTAAATGAATAAACGCCCTTTATTGATGCCCTGCAACGACATGCGCCGAATACACTCCGCGCCAAAAAGCGGACATTTCAGACGAAAAATTAAAAAAAAAAATCCCAAAAAAAAATCAAAAGCATATCAAAACCTATACAACATACAAGAACGTAATCAACTTAATATTTTGCGCTGTATTGCACCTTTATAATAGTTGGTTACATCAGCAAAGGTGTTGTTATGTAACGGAGTGCGTGGGCCGCCGTTTATCGATTTCGTCGACCGAAAGTTGCGTGGGGAGGAGCGAGAAGGCCGAAAGATAGCTTCGCCTCCGAGTGTACCCTCAGCTGATCGATTCCTGCTAGTCTACAGCGAAAGCTCGCCATAGCCATAACCAGCTCCATCCCAAAGCTCTGCGAAAGCTCTGCCCGCGAAGACTTGCTGCGCGCCACCGCCTAAGCAATCACCGAACAAACATAACTAAGGTCAGTGATTACGAATTGCTAATTTCCACAATTCACCTTTTTTCACCCTCTCGTTTCTCGTGCAATAAACAAAATCAACGCAATTGCATAACCAACCCTCCAATCCAAATCGAATCAAAGTTTAAAGCTTATTTGTACTAAAAAAAATACATAAATTTGCCATTCCCATCGACGGCGTCCGAGGTTCTTACGATCCGATTGGGCGTTATCTCAACATCCCGAGATCGATCCCAGGGACCTTGGCTGTTTCAATTTTTCGTACACGTATCGATTGCTCGAAATGCACGTGCCGTGCTGTTGCCACAATTGTTTTGTTATTGTCCCGTACGAACAACAACAAATTAAAGAAGAAATGTATATACATATAGAAGTAGCACAAAAAAAAAACATAACAAAAAATGAAATAATCGCGCTCCAGACGCAGATACCCTTGAATCTCAAGTACAAGTTTGCCTTTTTATTTTCATATTTATCGACGAACTTGTTTGTACCTCGGACAAAGTTTTGTACCGGGATTCTCAGGTCCCCTCAATCGATTATATTCTCTCTCTTTTTTGTCGTGTTGATATACTTGAAGCCTGTCTCCAGCCACCCTTTAAAATAATGATGATTGCCTCCCATAATCAATGAAAGCAAACGCGAATTTACAACATTTATACGTGTGTATATAAATAAATTTAAATGAATTCTCTTTCATTTTCGTTTCTTTTTCTATTTTTGTTATGCAAATTATCGGAGCACAAATTATCGCGGCGCTCGTAAATGGAGCAACATTCAAAAAAGCATTTATCGCGTATGGTGGAAGTGGCTGAAACTCGTATCCACATGTATAAAGTAACGTTTCGTTATCGGTTATATCCAGTTTTCGTTTCGAAATGCATAAGTTTCGTCGTCGTAGCAGCGACAATTTGGATGCTAAAGGTATTAATATTGTAT